AGAATTGGCAATACTAAATGAAGTACTGGGAATCTCAGAGTGCGGTTTAGCAATACTCAATTTGGAATTGGCAGTACAATGTGTACTTTGAATATGAGAATAAGTCTTGGCAATACTAAGCATAAATTTGGCAGCGCCACAAGTACCGTGAATCTGAGAGTAAGGCTTGGGAAAGGACAGGCCCTGAAGATGTTCGGCCCGGCCGAAGGGCTTTGGGGTTAGCCCCGCACCCATTTTATTTTCGCCTGAGGGCTAACCTTTTCTTCTCGCGGGTCCCCTAGTCGGCAACTTTTGTGAGGGTTAGCACCCCCAAATTATTGTTGGAAAAAGGTTAGGCCCCCCCTCATTTCAATGAAATGGGGGGTCCTAAACTCAAGCTTTTACAATGCTTCGGAGAAAAACAACTGCTGGGTTGGTCACGTCCAGTTGGTTTCTCTTGGTAAAGCCCTAAGAAGCTGTCTCGAGGTTGGCTCCAAAAGCGTTATTTCCCCAGACTGGTTTAACTAGGTCCCCCAGTGCCCTTTTACCCTTTCACCCCCTTCCCCCCAAAAACAAACGGGTACCCTTATTCTATCCTCTCTACTGGACCTCGTTTCAGCTGATCTCCCCCAAACCCGGCAGGACCAGCTTGAGCCGAGCTCCTCCTTCGAGGCGAAGCGGCTGAAGGTGCCCAAGGGCGTGCCCTTGGCGCCAGGGCGCCACGAGCACGATGACCACGTGGTAAAGCTCAACTCCTTCTTGCGACTTCGCCGAAGATTCCCACAAGGACAAGAAACAAAAGGTGTACATGCAACACAAAAAACAACGTGACACCCCCGCACATGGAGATGATTCTCAAACCAGCGCGGTCATCAATTTAGGCGGTTGGAGCTGCAACACAATACTCCTGTCCCCCAATGCCATGTGCCTGGTGTGAGAAGCCCAAAGAAAACCGGATGCCATATTCTCGGGTCTCCTTCAAAATGGGTCAGAATCTGATTTGTTGTTTGCATACCCCAGATGTAGGATTGAGGTTTCTGGCGGCGGGGGCACTATTGGGGAATTTGTCAAGGATTCTCAGATGCTGGAAATTGCATCTGAAGAAATACAGTTCGGCCATTCCAAACATGACATTCTTCACGAGACCCAAAGAAGTTCATTGGGGGGGCAGGGATCAACGAACCGAGGCAAGAGTTGGAAGAGGAACCCAAAAGGCGCGCTTTGCCGACTTTTCGCGCAAGGCGGTTGGACGCCATCCCTGCAGGGTGTTTGGTGTTCTTGGGTGTGTATGCTGACGGGTCCCGTGAGGTGGTTGCAAAAGGCCTTTTAACAACCATTGTTTGAGAGGGTAGACATATCTAAGACGGACCCAGAGTGATTCACTTAGGCTTCCTACTGGCTATTGATTGGAATGCGTTGGCTTTGCGGTTTGTCTGTGTGACTGTGCGGTTGTTTCATTGCTTGCTTGCAGGCTTTTGTGTTTCTATTTTTCTCACTTTTTGAGTTTGAAGTTTATGCGTGTGCGTTTGCGTTTGCATGTGTCTATGTGCCCTTTGCCCTTGCTTTCCGCATTGTGCTTGCCTGTGCTTGTATCATTTGGTGTTGGCATGTGGCTTTCCCAGCCTTGGAGTGTTGGAACCGCAGCTTTTTGGTAGGGTGCCGTGGTCAGAACACCCTTCTACTTGGGGTTGGTCGAGATGTTCAATCTCCTCTGAATCCGGGTTTCAGAAACCAGGAGTCCTAGTACGGGAAGTATGGTCATGCTCCGCACAAACAGTTTTGACCATGGCAGGTGTAGAGCCACATCAGAGAACAGTGGGCTGTGTAGTCCCATGCTTGGCATGCTTCGGAAGCCCAGAAATGGTCTTCGAACTGTGTTCATCGGTTGAGGATTCAGTTTAGATGGCAGCTCGCTGGTCGCAACCGGTCTGGTGAGATCTATCAAAATCAAAACATGAGGTTGGGAAGTAAACCACAGACGACCTCCCGGTAGAAAAATGCAAAATGCAGGGTTTCCAGCTTGTTCCCTTGCAATCTTGATGGCTTGCTATCCTTACAAGGTTTCCCAGTTTGAGGGTTCAACCAAACGTAGGGGAATCTTCACAGTGGAAACAGCCGGTTTTTGCACGATGGTTGAAAATAATGGGGAATCTCCCCCTAGAGTTGTTGGGACATGTTTTGCATGAATCCACTTTGCAGGCTTGAACAACTTCTCGGCTACGCTTACCGATCTGACGAGCCAACGGTGCCGTTCGCAGACGCGACTTCTTCGGCGAGCTTTGGTATGTGTCGTTCTCAAAACGTTTAAGTACGGTGTTTAGATGGGCTGGGGCTTAGCCAAATGGTGAGTAATCTTAGTTGCAGTACAGCGAGACAACTGCAGACAAGCTGGAGTTACTAGCTACTTTGCTGACTCCCGGACCATCTGAATCGAAGTGGATGATGGATGCCTGAATCACCGCAAGGGGAGCATGGGAAATCACACAGTTGACAAGGGTTTTCTGTTTGGATGACGTTCAACCGTTTTGTTCGTTCACTTGCAATGTTTCGGCCTCCCCTGCGCCAACCTGGGGCAATATGTCCCACCGGTCAGTGCATTTCCAGAGCTCCGCGACAGCGCGGAATTATTTCCTTAGCCTATTTGGGTCAATTCGTTGACGACACCGATCTGGTGGACGAGGCAAGTGGGAGCTTAAGCCCGAAATGAAGCAAACCCTGGAATAGTAGTCAGACTAAAACGCTAGAATAAATAATTTCCTTGCTAATTGCAGAAGGACTTGGTACAGTCGTCCGGACCAATCCGAAGTATGACTCCGTCATCGCCCAGGTCTGTCCCGACTGCAACGCGGCGGTCGTGCCGTCCATAGATCACATCTGGTGGTTTTGCCCGGCCTACGCCCACCTTCGGGGTGCCTTTCCGGCCCCCCCCCCCCCCGCTCACCCTCTCGTGCGCCGCATCGGTTGGGGTCCTGGCTGGTCTGTGCCGGATCTCGTTGCTCTCCTCAATCAGCTCGGCTCCATCCATGCGGAGCAGCTTCGGCGGCCACTAGGCTCCGGTCCCCTGTCTCCTTCTTGGCGTTGGGTGGGCGCTCTGGCTCGGTGTTCTCTGTGGTTTGCTGCGTCCCCTTCTGGTTTCGTGGCGGGCCGGTCCGTGTCGGCGTTCTCCTTTCTGCCGTGGTTCTGCGCTGTCTCTTTCGTTGCCGTCCTCTGTGGCGTCCCCGTTCGCTCCTTGGCTCGTGGCGGCGCCCCGGGCGGCCTTCTCCGGCCCGCGGGCGCTGTCTGTCGGTTCGGCCGCTGTGGCGGCTGGCCCCCCTCCTTCGTGTGTTCGGCCTGTCCGCGTGCGGCCTTCTGGTCCGTTCCGTGGCGCCCTCGGCTGTCCCTGTCTGGTGGGCCCCCCGTTTCGGCGGCGGCGGGCGGAGGATGCGGTGAGTTTCTCTTTCTCTTTCTCTCTCTTTCTTGGGGAAAAACATGTGCTGAGAACTGGCCATGCGACGATTGAGGGGTTCTACACCTTGTTTGAAATCTCACGCAGGCTGAAGGTTCTTGCTTGGGGATTCCTTATTGGTTTGTTTGGCTGCAGATGTTGGGTAAGCCAAGGAGCCAGGCATGATAAAACTCCTTGTTAAATGAGGAGCTACAGAGCTCACAACTGCCACCCCCCCCATATATTCATTTGTTTGTTGAGTCCTGGAAATTTGCCCAGAAACACCTTTGCTGTTGTGGCCGGGCTGACAAGCTTCGGCGATGCCCGCACCGAGTTTCACCACTTCCTCCACAGTTTAATGGGGTTGTTTCACGAGTTTTAAGCCCAGTAGTGCACCTTGCCGGTCAAAAACGCCTTGTACTCCCTTGTTCATAGAGTGTCTTTGCTCCCTTCGGGAGCCTTGAGCCAGAGGGCTTCCTTTTGAGGCCGCTTTTTGCACAAATTTTGACTGTGGTGCATGGCTGTGGCCTCCCACAGCAAAGCTTTTGGAGTATATAGTGGGCATCGACCAGGTATCAATCCCTGGGATTGCACCCAGAAGCTTGCTGTTGTGACTGGATGTTTCAGCGCGCAGTCCAAGACCGAGATTGAGTGTGTAGCGCACACATTGCAGTGAGCCGGACGAAAGAGAGTCGTACTCATGGATCATTACTTGGATTGGAACTTCCCGAATGCAGTTCGGTTCACAAAATCATGTACAGATATTTTTCATGACTGAGCACAGTGCCAGCTGTTGCTCGCGAGTCCTCTAGCATCACGGCATCTCCGCCATGGACGGCCATTGGACGGAAGCCGCGGGTGCGTGACGGAAGCCGCGGGTGCGTCACAGCCGCTTGCATGCCCGGCCGCTTGTCACGCGGGCGGCGAGGCGTGCGACATGTTTTCCGATTGCGGCTCGACAAGCGGCAAGATACGGCCCAAGCCGACACGCGCTCTTGAGCGCCTTCGTCATTTTGTGCCAAGGAAGGCTTGCCAGTTCCAACCTTATGGATCGTCGAAGCAGATTACATTAGTCCGTGCTGCTGCATGCGAAAGATGTCAGCGACTTGTGTTCTTGCACGACAGGCGGACAAAAAGTCAAGGCATTGCCGGCCCACAGCAGTGGATGAGCTAGGCTTAGTCATCAGGGCCTGCCTTCGCACCACAATGGTTCTCAGAACCCTTCTAAGTCCCCGTCTAAGAAGGTTCTAGGAACCTTTCCCGGGGTGTAGTATGTAGGCGGGCCTTTGGTTTTTTCCCTGTGAGTATCCTCGGCTCTCCAGTGGTTGGCATCAGCTTGTGCCTTGTAAAATAAGACAAATAAGAAAAGGCGCAAAGGTCGAAATGGCAAACCGAGCCAAGATTGCCGATGGGAGCGATCAGCAAACCTTTGAAGGTAACCCAACTAATCAGAGGCCGCTGTCTCCTTATGTTCTTCAAGAGCGCCCTTTCATGATTTGCTGCGCTGCCAAAAGCCCCGACCTTTGACTGGGTTGCTCTGTGTTCGTCCTCTCAAAGACCTTACCAGACTTTACCTTTTGACTTGACAAGATGCTAGGTCATTGACTCCGGGGGCAAGGAGATCCTTCGCTACTTTATGCAGGAGGCAGGTTTCTTGAGCGCCGCCTTGCGCGCTGTCCGCACATCACCACCTGAGTTCCTGGACTTGATGCTTTGGGAAGACCCTCTTGGCTAGAACCCATTGCCTAGGCCCAGCGAGTCTGCCCAACAAATTCATGTAATAATTTTAACACGATTGGGGTATTCGGGGCAAATTAGAGTCTCTGATGGCATTTGCAAACGCAAGCGCCTTCAATCTTAGCAACTTGATTTGTTGTTTGATCATAGCGACCTCACAAGGGGGCGGGGGTTGCGACATTACCAAGGGTGGTTAGCAGGGTCTATTTCAGATTGGTGAATGAATTTTAATTTACCCAGATTGGTTGAAACCCTCAGTCTGATGTTACAGAAACACACATTCTACCCTCTCAATGGTGGTGGTTTAAAGGGTTTTTCCACCCCAGAAGTAAATTTGAGAACCCCTGAACATGTTCGCTTCAAGGGACCATGGTATGCACGCGGCCAGGACAAGAAGAATTCCGGCACCAACAGAGGGCTGATCATGCGATGCTGCCACGTTTGAATATCGAACTAAATCTCTTTGCTTGCAGCCAAGCAGTTTCGGCCCGGCTGCTTGAGGATTCTGAATCAGGCTTTTGCCTCGAGAAGGTTGTCTTTTGACAGGTTTTGCCGCCTCCAATCTTATACAGTTGGGATTCCCGTTGCAGACCCAAGCTAGATTCAAGCTTCGGCAAGACGTCTTCAGGCCTCACGCGCACACACACACACACTCTGGGTAGCCAGCACCGATCACTTCGGATTTCATTTGCAGGGCTCAGGACAAAGGCTAGCGCACGATCAGCATCCTTGGTGCTGACAAATTCCTAGAACTTCTTTAGGAGCAATTTCCCAACGTGTTCCTTAAACATCAAAACACAACGTGGATTGCTGGAAAACCGCTTATTTACAACAAAAACATAATTTGCTTCGACCTCTCCATGATTGCTTGCCAGCCACTACTTTGCCCTCATCAACTCCATGTTCAATCCAAGCTTACGAACTCTAGACCTTTTCAACCTGTAAACCGTCATCAAAACTAGCATGTTGAGTACTATTCCTCACCAGCTTTTCATGAGAGCCACATCGCAGGCACCCAGGCAGCAACTTGTTTTGAAGCGACGCAGGCATGTTCAAAAAGGTGTTGTTTGGCCTTTCCGCCGATTTACGCGGACGGTCTTCGACATGGTCTCCGTGACCAAGGTGTTGGGGACCACCTGGCCGCTGCTCCTCGACTGGAGCTGGACCGCTCCGTGCTGACTGGAGCCGGGAGCACACCGACTGGCAGCCCTTCCATCGAAGAACTGCAGGTCTTCGGCCTGTTGCATGCCAGACACGGTGCTGCGGTTTCTTCGCGCTTCGCGGCACGCAGATCGCACCAAGGTCCACACGCTTTGGTGAGCACGTGGCGTCGTGCGCGATCAGAATGCAGAATGCCGGCAGGCGGACAGCTCTTCTGGGGAGAATGAGTGAGCGAGCGAGCGAGCGAGTGACTTGGCTGTTTCAGGGACTCCGCAAGCATTGCCCCGACTTGGAGTTCAAACTGGCGGGGCGCCCCAACATCTTGGAACTACGTCCAAGAGGTTGCACGGCCCAATTTTGCAAGACGGCAAGCTGGCCTTCGTGCAATCTTCAACAAGCCCGCCATCCGAACCTGTCGCCCCACCCCTGCGCCGAAAGGGAAGTGGCCCACCCCTGAGCATCCATTTGGATGGACCTGGCGCTCGTCTTCTTCGTTGCTCATCACCAATCGTGTTGCACCCGACGGACAACTGATGGTCCGAATCGAGTTGAGATCCCTCACTCTCTGGAAGTAGTCTGCGACTGCAACTCTATATATCACAGACCAGCCACCAAAGGGCAGCACGGATACCTTGTGAGCACCCCAAGATTGACGGGTTTGTGGCTGATGTTAGCGAGCGGGCTCCCGCACTTTTTTTTGGCGGGCGTTCTTTGCCTTTCCCGTTAAATTGCCATATAGTGTTGGAAGGTGGCTGCATTATTTAGTCATCAAGGCCCGAATGTCATATAACATTTCTTCAGACGCCTTGTTAACGGAGGGGTCCATCCAGCGCGCTGCCGCTAGGGCCCGGCTTTTCTGGAACCAGTTCCACGAGCGGTGGTCTTGTCAGGCGCATTCGATCACACCAGCCCCAGAGCTTCAAAATCGTCAAAAGTGGTCCTGGGTCCCCCAAATGAGGATGTGTTTGCAAAAGCACTTCTCCTCCTGTTCTGGCAGGCGGGCATAGCGATTGTTTGCAAAGCGGCTGAACCCACTTTGATGGAGTTGGCCTGACACATGTCCAACAGGTTGCCACCCAATGTCAGCTGTTTCGATTTTTATGTGCAGAAACAGTAAGCAAGCCTATTGATTCATGTCCAAAGTCTAGCGACCTCACCCGGACGCAGTGGGCGAGCGACAAAGCAGCAACCTGACAGGGGGACCGTTTGCTCAGTTTGGCTGATGTAAAAACTGTAATTCACCCAGATTGATGTTGTGGTTGTGTTTTTTGCCGAACAAACGCACATCTCTTTTGACCCCCCTTCTCGATGCAAACAAGCCGCTGAATCCATCGAGCATATGCAAACACAGAACTCTCGGCGGTTGCAGCAATGTTGGCCGCAACCCATCTTCTGAAAGTCGGCCAAGTGGCAACCGTTAAGGTCACAACGATGGCAAGGTTGCTCGACGCTCAAAAGATGATCCAAACCTGATTGTTTTTCATCTTGTGGAGGGTGGGGTTTGCCTTTGTCCAAAGCCACAAAACTACAAGGTAAGGGCAGACTGTTGGTTGCGTTTCCTTCAGTTGTTTTGCCCGGGACCAATGTGAAGTTCTTGTGCCAGGGCATTTGCAGAGCCGAGCCCAATACTACGTTTGCCTGATTTACGACTTGCCCACTTTGCAGGGGCTGTGACACAAGTGAGCCACACTCAAAGCCTGAGTGTAACTACGGGGTCTCGATTGAAACCAGGTTACAAGTCTTTCTAAACATGAACCAGAAGCAACATGTTTTTGTGGGGGGGGGGGGGGGCGCACACCAAACAAAGGAGGTTAGCTCATCAACAAATCACGCCCGCAAGCAAATCGAGCGGGGAGTGGGCAGGCGCTTGGCATCTACCACCAGAGCCGCTGCTGGCCGGATTCAGTGGAGGAGATGCGACTTGGACCAAACCTTCAGGTGTCAGCCGCGGTTTGGCACCTACTGCGTGAGGCTTACATGCCCGAATCTTACCCCAGATGCCCGCACGGTTGCACACGGATGTTATCCTCAAATAGGGAAACCTCAAAATTGGGAGATGTCCCATGTTTTCCGTTGAACAGATCCCTATTCTGGGTGCCCTCAAGGATGAACAGCCCCGCTTGGTCATCGCCATTGCAAATGTGGTTTCAACGGCAGGCTTCTTAACACGGATAGCCACAAGGGATGTTTCACCATTGCTTTGTGAACATATTCATACAATGGTGGACAAGGTGCTTGGCTTTTTTCGCTGATCATCAAGGTGCTTGTTCACCATTTGGTTGTGGCTCAAAATTAAAGAGCTAGGGTTACGCAGGTTTTAGTCTCTGGTTTCATGAACCAAGGTGCAATTTTGGTACATGTTTTTGACCCACAGCCATTTCACCGCTTGTCTTACGATTTCACCAAGTGCTTGGCCCGACCCAAGTCATCGCTCCGCAACGTGCAGTTTGAGGCAGCGCTTGGTGTCCATGGCCCCGAGCAGCTTCCAGACCTTGCTGCTGGAGGACACGGAAGTCTGCCTGTAAGCTCAAGCAAAAACGAGAAATGAACACGAAGGTCCTCTACTGGTTCTTTTTTTTGAAGTTTTGGACATATTGAACACTTGCACATGAAGTGGGGGTCGAAGTTTGGTTCATATGGATGTACCTTTCGGATCCTTTCGGGGAGCCAAATTCATATGGTAAGTAGACCAACCGCAAACTCTGGTAAATTGCCGTTCCTTTGCAAAACAGTATGCAAACATGGGGCCTATGTGTGAATGTGTCCTTCATAGTTACGTGCTGTTTGCAATTGAAGACCATCTTTGTTTGGAGAGACTATTCTTCGGTATGGTTCGCGTATATACATGCTAATTACTAATAGCACGACGAGAATCAAGTGTCATTTCCTCCACATAAGACGACAACTAGTTGTCACAATGGTTAGATCAGCATGGAACCTTCAAACTGCCATTTTCATATTGGCATACTGGTTCCTTGTTAGAGTGTGTCACAAATGATCCTTAGTTTGAACATGAGTAGGAGCCCCTTAAAAGGGTTGGCAGCACCCAATCCGGGTCCTTCGGCACCAAAGGCTCTCAAACTAAAACAGCAGAAATATCAATATTGGTCTCATCCCTTGATAAAGGTTATCCTTTTTTGCCCGTGTTTCAGCTTGGCGAGGTATTATCGGATACTGAAAGTTGCAGAACCTGATGCTAGTTTGGCCGGTTGATCAACATCGGTTGCAAAGACATCTTATCCCAAATCAATCAGTATTTCGGGACTATCAGATTGCCTGATTGCCGTTTCTCTTTTCTGCAGTGCTACTTTGGCTGTTTGGGCCTGTTTGACGGTGCCATTGGATGATTGGATGTTATTGATACATTTAACCTGTGCAGCCAACCCTGCAAGGGTAGGGCCAACCACCTGCTTTACTTCTTGCATGTTTTCTTTTTGAGTGTTCAGATTGCGAGTTTGCATCAGCGCGCCCAAGTGGCACGCATTTCGCCTGGCAAGCACTGTGGGTCAGTGGACCTGGAACAAAACAACACGAGCTCTTGGTACTCGTGATGATTCAATGGCGCTCTTTGGCCATTGGATTTGCCATGAGACGCCCCCCCTTTTGATCGAATTGGGACCTGGAGAAATTGACCCGTTCCACGCTCGGGGTTCCATCTTTGGGAAAGACTCGGCAAATGGAGTTAACCCCCCCGAAAGGGGGATGACATGGGGGTCTGGGAATGGGCGACTCCACTCGAGTCAGAACTCCGGTGTGGGATCCTGTTTCGATCCGTTTTGGGTCAGTTTGGCTGAAACATCGATTGTGCTGGTTTCTGTTTGATTCTATTCATTCACCAGGATCCATCACTTTTTCGCAAGGAATCCTACGAATGGAACATGCGAAACATTCTTGCAACGCGAAATGTTTGGCTGATGGAGACCAGGCACAAGTAGTTGTTGCGCGCCTTGCCTGTGGCCTCTCCGAATCTCTGAGAAGGTTTCAACATGGTATCTCGCTGCATATTTCTTAAAACTTGTGTTCTGGTTGCATGACTCGCCGGCGCCACATCTGCGCATCATCGGTCACAGAGAATTTGCATGCAGGATGAGGATTCAGTCACCAGAGGTGATCATCGCTCAACAACAGCAGTCTCTTGGCATCGATAGCACGTGTTTGCGGAAATTATAGATTATAGCCACGCGGGGTAAACCGAGCTTACCCACGATGAAGGTCCCTTACTTGCGGTAAACGCCTTGTGTTACATTGTGTCAATGATCACACCAGACGCCCACACCAACACTCCCACGCCCACACCCACGCCCGCCTGCACGCACGCACACACACGCGCACACACACACACTCATCCACGCACGCACGCACGGCACGCATGCACGCCCGCGACGCACGCACGCACGCACGCACGCACGCACGCACGCACGCCCGCGCACGCACACCCACCCACCCACCCACCCACCCACCCACCCACCCACCCACCCACCCACCCACCCACCCACCCACCCACCCACCCACCCACCCACCCACCCTCCCACGCATGCATACGCATACACTTGTTGCGCACACACACACACGCGCGCACACATGCACAATCACCGACCACACCGACACCCACGCAGGCATACACACGCAAGCACAAACCCAAGCACACAGGCACGCCGCAACCCAAACTACAAAGATGCGCAGGCGCACAGACACACACACACACACACACACACACACACACATATATATATATATGTATACATATTATATATATATAGAGTCATATGTATATGCACAGACAAACGCGAGCAGGCGCACAGTCACAGAGAGAGAGAGAGAGAGAGAGAGAGAGCGAGAGTCAGAGATGCGCAGACGAAGTTACGGCATGCACAGACAGAGGCGCACAGACGCAGAAACAGACACAGACGAAGACACAGACGCAGAGCGAGAGGCAGACACAGGCAGACACAGACATACAGACACAGCTAGAGACAGACAGAGACACACAGAGACACCCAGAGACAGACAGAGACACGGACAGAGACAGAGGCAGACAGACAGGAGGGAGAGGCAGACAGACAAGAGGGACAGACACACAGGATGACACAGACACTCAACATGACGCATGACACACACACAGAATGACACAAATAGGGACAGAGACAGGCAGACAAACACACACACACACAGACAGACAGACACACTCACACGCACACTCATTGGCGGACACGCTTACGCACACACACACACAAACCCCGCACACACACACATCCACATTTTTGTTTCTTCGATTGGCAAGGATTGCTGGTGGGACACTTTGCGCGCTCTTAGATGTCCCGCTTGAAATCCAGCAGAACCATATTTGTCTGCTTTGGCTGGACTCATGGTGTAGCACAAATGTTTGCTCCAGCAAATGTGTGAACATTTTAGTTCTTAGGCCTTTGCTACTGTGCCAGATGGCAAGAACAGACTCTCGCCATAAGTCATGGTACCGGCTCAGCCACGGCAAAATACAGGCCCTTAAGGACCCACCATAGTCATCGACGAGCAGATCAGCAGCATAGCGCAATACTACCGCACAGTGTGCGTGTGTGTGTGTGTGTGTGCGTTGTTTCGCAGCATGTGTTTTCTTTTGGTGTTCTCAGTGTTACCCTGTAAGAGCCTTCAATTTGTCAAGCGAAACAAATAAATCGAGCTATCGGTTTTTGTTAGCCTTCCCCGTTTCAGGCAAGTTCAACGGCAACGAGCGTGCTGCGCTCAGAGATCCACATGTTCCAGAGCCCGATTGGACTCACACATGCGTTGTTGTTGTTGCTTTTGCATTTCTAGAAAGCTTGTGGGGATTCTAAACGTGGTGAATCTGTTTTGGCTGGTCTTTGTAGGAAGCAACAAAGAGCCAAACAAAGGCTACAATATTTTACTTGGAGTCCGGCTCATTGCCCTCCGGCCAATTCGTGTTTGTGAGTTCGAAAGTTTTTAGATGCCCGACCCCAGTGTGCATGAAGCAACATATGGGTCAGTTTCAGATTTTGCTTCATGCTAAATCAACCATGAAAAGTAAGATATTGTCGGAGGATATCACAATCAGGGATGCAACCCCTTGCCCATGGTCACCTGACCAGTGCCATTTTGTTCAACTCAATGACTGCAGGAATGTGTTCCTGATGTCCGATTTGTGAATCATAGTAATTGCCCAGGTTGCTTGCATATATAATCATTGCAGACCGCCACCTGCCGGAGTGATTCCAGCGGATCTCCCTGGAGAAGAGGAAGATGAGCAAGATCGGGATTCGATTTTGTTTTCTCCCAAGTCGACAACCCGGTCAAAGGGTACTGTGGTTTAATCAGCATGTTATGGAACCATATGGAACACTGATCACGACTCTCCGTGCCTCATTGGCCAGGACGCAAAAGGGGCGCCCTTTGTTCACAAGCTGGTCTGTCCTTAATCTCTTGCAAGGGATGTGTGTTCAAGTTCAATGGTCGTGCCTCACAAACACGACTGGCACAATGTGATCTTGCCGCACCAAGGTCGTTATGTCTCTGTGAGACCCAACGAGTGCCGTGCTGTGTCCTCTCACAGCGCTCGTTGGGGTTGGTTTCACCGTCTCAAAACGCCAGGGGTTTGGAGGTCGGAGGTGTTTTCACCTCCTGACCCCAGAATGACCGCCGGCGATTGCCCAGGGTGGGGCATTTTGTGACCATCACTATCGTGACTTGTGCAAAGGCAATATTCAAAAGAGGGAATTGTGCAGGCAAAGCATGGACGTTGTACAACATCATGCACACAGACACAGGAAACACACGCACACAGCACACGAGTGCATATACAAACATATGTAGCGCCATATCCATATATACACATGTGTGTCAATATACACACACATAATATACATATGTACATCTATATATATATAATAATTATTGTTATTATGTTTTGTTTGTTAAACACAAAGAAAGCAAATACGTGTGGAATCCTAAGAAACGGCCTTGGCGTTGAGTCTTTCGTATCCCCTCTTCCAGAATAAACTGTAGGTTGACGCTAGTCATCAAACAAGTATAGTAGCCTGGTTTGTGTTTCCTCTAACCCGCGGTTTGTCACAACGTATATCCTTAAGATAGGCTTTGGATGTATAGCGTGTGCGGAAGTTTCTTTGCATGTGTCTGTGTACGTGTGAGTACGTGTGTGTGTGTGTGTGTTGTGTGCTCGAAGGTCTCGCTATGTGCGCATGCATACATGCGTTTGTGTTTGTGTGTGTACGTGTGCACATACATGTGGGTGTGCGTCCGCTGTGTTTGGATATGCTCTATCAGCAACGTTCAGTTTCACAATGGTATCGGTAGGCCCTTTCGATTTTGAGTAGCCCCTATCGCTTTAGTGTGGGAATATTGCGGGCATTTCGTATTGCAGGCCACCGATCCCACCTTGAAGGCGCTTTTCACCCTCAGAGTGCGCCTTTTTGCTGAGCCTCGCGAGAACTGCCGGAAGGCGTCTCGAGCAAGGTGCTCGAACAACAGCAATTGACTCAGTTTGATCCCCCCAGTCTTTTCACCCAGAGGTCTTTCGGGGAATAATGATTCGCTGGTGGTTGGCTATTTTTCTGAACAGAACGATCCTCAGAAAGAATTGGGGAAGGTACATCTGGACCTTTTGTTCTTCCTCCCCCGTCAAGAACTTGGCTCAGGGCAGAATAGCATGCGGCCAGTCGAGGACGATCGGCAGGGCTTTGCACGCACGTCATGTGCTTGGATCACAGTTCCGCACTCGGATTCTTCACCCATTGTGTTTCCCATTCAGGGATCATGTTTCTCAAGACCTGGCCCAACTGCAGGAATGTGGTTTACAGTATGAAGGGTCGTCATTTCTTCTTTGACTCAGGCAGAGCCTACTGAACCAGAATGTGTCTATTGTAACATCCTTTCGTCAAAAGCCATCTGGTTGAGGGGCGCCTTTCTGGTATGTTCAGGAGCCAAGATCTTGCCGAAATTTGCCGTACCGGTCGGAACTGGGCACAGCGCGCTCTTTCGTTTCAAAGTCAGCAAAGTCAGCCCTGTGACTTGCCCAAAAAGAGCTCCACAAATTGTCCGTTTGCCCGAAGGCCTTGTGGCGGGTTCAGTGCACCACTGTCGATCGCCTCACGGGATGCATCCTGCGTTTGACCCGCGAATCCCAGTGGTCCTGGTGGGTCGCTGGGTCTGGCGTTTCGCCGCGCACCCACTCGCTAGGCCATCGGAACATATGGCGAGCTGTGAGAGCGCAAGCGACAGCAAAAAGCTCAGCAAGCTACAGTCTTTGAGTTCTACCCGGTCGATCATGTGAGCTTCAGATTAATCCGGAGAACCCTACAAGGGTTCATGTTCTAACTACAAGGGGGACCACCCCGGACTAGCATGGTCCTCTGGATTGATGCAAAGTTAGTATTATATAATAGCCGTCAGTTTTTTTTGTTTTTATGTGGTTTCGGAACGGTTGCGGCGTGCGAAGCACTTGTTGTTTTATCCTGGCGTACTCCATGCGATGCAGAAAGCACCAGCCTATGACTACTTTGTGAGCCATCCGGAAAAGGCTGCGCTTGTCATCGTTGTCGTAACTCTACTGGTGGTTTCTGTGACTGGTGTCATATATATATATATATATTGTTTGTCGTAGCCTTTGTCAGAGCTGTCTTGAAGAGGCACCATCTGGGAGAGCAACTGCAGTGAACGAACTTTGGTAAGCCGTACAACCAGCAGCCAGTTTGGCTTTCCCATGATAAAGATTTGAACAAGCAACTCAGCGCAGGACGCCGCGCGAACAGCGATGTGTCAAAC